GGGGTGAGGGGAAGCGGAGCAGCAGGGGAGCCCTTCTGGCATTTGAAGATTGTTTTAGGGCCCTTCAGAACCTACAGAGGTCTCCAGAAGCTGATTCTCAGTCAAAATATTAATTTAGCTCTGTAGGGGAAGTCCCCCTTTTAAATGATTTAGGAGTAGATAATCAAGGTGCAAAACAAACAAAGTGTATCAAGTGCATACATCTCAAGTGTTCAGATCAGCATGTATACATCTGTAACTGCAGCTCAGATGGAGATAGGAAACAGATCCACTCACTCTTTAGTTTTGAAGCCATCTTTTTTCTTTTCTTTTTTCCGCAATTCTCTACTCTCCAAAGATGGAGGTGTTTTCAGGGCATGGCAAAAGCAGCATAGACTGGACGGTGATAGACCAAAGAGATGAGGCTTGCGTACCGTAGACACTAGCTCTTTTTCTAGAAGCCATAGATTTACCTGCTGGGCTATTTTGGAATGTAAGAGCTGTCCATGTAATTTTCCTATTGCTTTTTAATACTGTCTTTCAACTGAGGAAAGCAATGAGCCTTTTAGAGGTTACTTGTGAGGAAGCGGGCAGTTGACTTTGATGAAGTTGAAAGGCAGGGCAGCCTGTGAATGGAGGTCGGGGTTTGTTTATCCTAAGGTGACAATTCCTCAGAGTTGTGGTCATCAGAATGGACTGGTGGGGACCGTCTGGTCTGCCCAGGAAGGGGTGGGTCTCTGTTCAGGGCTGTGCAGAATGAAATGGGGAGCCAGGAAATACTGGCATCTGAAGCCTTTCTGTAAGACATCGTTCCTTAAGATTTTCCAATGAAAGCTGCTCCTGTTTGGTCATAAAGTGAAGCAGTTCCTGGCCTTCAGAACCAAGAGGACTTATAGTGGAAGGAGGCATTGAGCACTTCTCTCAGAAGCTAGCTGTTTGAAGTGTGTTTGTGTGTGTGTGTTTCCAGAGGGAGGTAGAACCTTCTTTGCTAGTAGTTCAGCTATCAATTTAGGAAAGGCTATGGAGATAAAAAGATAAGCAATCGCGGTACCCATTCACCAGGAGGATTTATGGAAGAGAGAAAAGGAGAGATGTTTGGGGACTGGGAAAAGGGGCAGCAGCAAGGCATAACATTTGCCTAAAGGAACAACATTCCCTTCCCCACTGCAGTTTGTCTTATTTTGGTTTAGTTAAGTAAACTTCTGTGAGCAATTCCATGCCAGCACTCTCAGAACTTGCTGAAAGCAAGTAGAGGTGACTAGAGCCCGGCCTTGCCTTCTTGTAGGACAGGGTTGGCCAGGCCAAAGGAGGAGAAGATGATGGCAGCGCATATAACAGAGGATCAGAGGTTCTTCTCTGTTCTGACTGAGGTCTGTGGTGGTTTCCAAAAGTTTCCATACCAAGTGGTATTCAGCCTGGCCTTTGAAAGCTGCACGAGGACTTGCCAAGAAGAGATGTGGTGTGAGTGACACCGGCTAAGGCCTGGAGTGTGAGAGAGAGATTACTTGAGCTGACTGACTGTAGGGAAAGTATGGGCTCAGTGGAGAGGAGGCCGGGGACACAGGTGTGTGGCAAGGCCAGGGTGACCTTGAGCGCTGCGCTGAAGAGATTTGCAGCCAGAAAGGAACCTTGACGATCATGTGCTGGTGAGTAATGTAGCCAGCTGTGGTTCCAGATGTATGCTGAAGATGAACTTTAGGGGCAAGTGCCCCTAACTAGTGAGGAGCTCTTGAAATAGTCCAGAAAAGAGGTGCTTGGGTCCTTCGCCTGTTGGGGGGAATCCTATGGGCCCTTCAAGACCTCTTCAAATAGCTACCTCCTCTGGGAAGTGTCCCTGACTCTTCAAAAACCTCTGTACTGATCTCTTTCTTAGCACTTCGATTATATTATTATTTGTTTGGGACTCTGTCACCCTTCTGGACAATGAGCTCCTTGAATGTGGGAGTGTTGCTTTAAGCAACTCTGGACCTTCTCTGTCCCATGTAACCCCTGGCATGTCTTAGGCTCTCAGGAAAGAGCTTGTAACAGTGGAGGGAAGGGGAGAGGGGAGGCAGGAGAGGCTTCAGAAACAGAATAATTTAGAGGCCGGTGAGTGGGAGAGGGTTGAGGTTTCAGCCTGGGTCCTTGGTGGAGGGGTTGAGAGGTGTAGTCTGTTGTCAAAACCAAAGCCTGGAGGGGTGCTGGCCTGAGGTGCCTGTCTGGGGCATCTTCCAGAAGCAGAGATCTTGATGTCCATGGGAAATATGGAGCCTGAGTGGGGTACCTGGGAAAAGAGATGTATGGGCCTCTCTTATATAGTATAATGAATGCAGTACCTCTTCCCAAGGGCAAATAAAATGGTATGGGGGAAAAAGAAAAAAAAACAAAAACAAAAACAAAAAAAACCAAAACCTTTGCTTCTTTTCAACCAGAATGTTATACCAGGGTCTTAAAAATAGCATTCTCAAACCACCGGCATTTGCAAATGGTTTTGTCTGTTTGTCCAACATGCATTCCAGAGTGCTTTGTTTTTCCCTGGCATGGCGGTCCCGCCAGTCTGGGCCCAAGGTCTCCTATGTGGTCCGGAACCAAATCTGCACCAGGGCCAACTTCCTCTCCGCAAAGTCAAAGGAGATTGCCTCTGTTTGGAGTCTCAAGGTTGGGCTCCACTGGGACCCTGCTCCAGCCATGGACTTCCTGGGGCCTGACAGAACACAGTTCAACTCCAACTCTCCCAGGACAATCTCAGATTAAACAGAAGCCTCTAAGTAGGCTTAAGGACTGCCTTTCTGTACCTCCAGAGTCAGTCTGGCCGAAGGCCCTACGGGAGGCCTTCAGGGCCTGGTAGAATTGCGCAGGTTACTTTTCCCCTTGTTTGAACCAGTGGTTGCGGGGGCTGAATTGTCCCATGTCCATGCCTCCAGCACATCTTAGTCTTGATCTCTACAATCCCCCACGTGCCTCCCTCACCCTGACCTTTCCTTCCTTACTCCCCTTAGCCCCACCCCTACTTCAGGAACCCTTCATCCAGTAGCTGACATATCTTTTGCTTTGTTCTTGCAACATGTGGAGTGTTGTTTTGGGTGCTTCTGCTTATAATGGATGTGAGTTGCATTGCTATAGATTTCATTTGATTTCTTATTTTCTCTACCCACCGCCAAGTTCTTAAGACCCAGGCATGTCGCTGCATGAATATCTAGTCTTGATTTCAGGTTATTTTTGTAAGACCATGGATGGCTTCTTCAATGACACAAAGAAAAGTTTCCATTTAAGTTCAGGTTCTCATTTAAATTTCAGACTTACTCCTCATACTGCTTATTCCTGTCCCAGGGGAGGAAAGGAATCTGCAGAGTAAGACATAAAATGTGTCCTGGTGTGTTGGTCTTGTACATATCCCAGCACCCCATCGGCAGGCCCACTTTGATGAAGGCCTGAGCTACTCTGGACACGCCCTGCTCAGTTTTGCTTGCATAATTGCCTTGGGTGGTTTTCACGTGGCTATGGGTCCCTCATCTGAATGTTCTGGTTAATGCTGCTGCAATAAGAGGTGTAATGGTGAGAGGGAGTCTCAGCTTGCTGAGAGGACATAGGCTGGTGCTATCAACTTAGATGGGAACCACTCTGGGCCTTGGTTACCCCAACTATAAGACCATATCTAGAGTGTGGCTTTGTATCCCTCTGACAGAAGGTCTAGCTGGCAGGATGGCAGAGTAATTGGGAGTTGGCCCAAGTTTATAGCAACCCTTCTCTGCTTTCCATCTGTGTAACTTCGAGCCAGTTTACTTAACTTTCCTAGGCCTCAGTTTTCCACTTGTAAAAAGGAGTAATAATCGTTACTCCCACACAAGGCTATTATGTGGGGCTTAGTTGATAGAAAACAAGACACACACACCCCTAATAAATTTAAGCCACTTGTGGCTTGCATATATATATTATATTAGTAATACATATGTATGTGTGTATATATATATATACACACACACACATATACATGTATTTGTGTGTGTATATATATATATATATATACATATATATATGTATATATATGCATGTGTACATTTATAAATCAATAATGGAGGCATTTTCTGTTGGCAGTGACCAAGTGTGGAGATTTACTGAGGAACTGGATAAGGGCAGTAATAAATTAGGCCTTGCATCCAAGGGTGATAAGGTGGTAATAAACTGGGCCTTGCATCCGGGATGGGACTAGAAGAAGGTGATAACAAACTGGGCATTACGTCAAGGGACACAGTGATGAGTCACCCTTTTGGAATCTGAGTTTAGAATCTATATGAGACCCTTCCCCCCTAAAGGGCTGGCAGTAGCTGTGGACCCCACTCTAGGGGCTCTGGCTGCTGTCTGGGAGCAATAAACTCTGCTTGCTCAGCCTTTCTGCCTCCCGCCTTCCTTTCTTGTAGCTGGTCACAGAAGTTGGGACAAAATATTTTCTTTTCTAATTCTGCCTTCTTCATGTTTTTCTTCAGGGAACAGATATGTGTGTCATGTCCACTTTTTGTAAGAAATGATTTTGTGGGCCTGACTCAATGGCTTAGACTCCAGGCAGTTGTATCATACACATCTACAGCAGAAATATCTAGTTGACCAGTAGACAAATCCCAGCCCCCAGCATCCTCGTGGTACAGAACACTGTGGAGTTGTGACTGCTTTCTTCTGATAAAGAAGTGAGAACCCTGAAGGCAGAGAGGAGGTTGGAGAGGAACCCACCTTTCATTATACCTTGTCCAAACTTCTCAGTGTCCATGGTGTTAAGCAATTGCATCTTTTCTTCTGGCACCACGACATTCACACCATTGTGGTTTTCTTTCAGAGGATGTGGAGGATGAGTTGATCAGGGAAGAAGTCATCCTCCTGTCTCCAGCCCCATCTATGCTCAAGTTGCAGATAGTGTCAAAGCCAATCGACTTCTCAGTGGCAAAGGTAGGTATCAGCTTAAAAGTGGGTATGGCTGGATTTGAAGTGGCATTGGGTGTGGAGTATGGTGAATTGGAATTGGTGTGGATTATGGTGTGGATGGTGATTTGAATTGGAGTGGATGAAGTGATTTTGCAGTTTCTGGCCCAACCCTCTTGTTGTGTTCTCTGGGTCAGAGTTAAAATAGTAATTTGGGTGTGACCGAGAAGAAAGCCTGAACTGAGGGTCAGGAGAATGGCATCCTGGTCCTGGCAACTCCCTCATCCTCTCAGAGATGGTGGTGAGGATACCATCTCCTTCCATTAAGCATTGCAGGGTGCATTTCTGTGGGCCCGGGCTGCCTCACCGTTTCTGCAGTGTTGTCATGGGAACCGGCTCTACCACGCTCCCTCCTCTGCAGGGCTCTGGCTGGGTTGCAGTGAGGGAAGGATAGGGAGGTGCTAAAGAATCTTCAGCAATGTCCAGGCTCCACACCCGTGGCCTCCTGGAGGGACCTGTGGTCACAGGACCTAGGGAGCAGTTCCTGGCCTTAGCAGCCTCCTCTGCACGGATGTCCAGATTCCTCACCACCCTTAGCTGCCAGTTGGCTTCCGTCTTCCTCTTGGCCAGTGACTTCTGCAGCATGGGGTGCTGCTCCCCCTGTCCTCCTCGGGTTTTTCAGTCAGGTTCCAGTAGGAAACATAAAACTCCTGGGGACATAGCTCTTCTTCTCCTTCCATATAAATAATTTACTCAACAAAATGATGAAAAAGTAAAGGGATTTTTCTAGAGGCTTTGTCCTTCTTTTCCCTTTTTTCCTTCCTTTTGAAGTCACAGCATGTCAGGTATACTTCAGTGGTCCCAAGTTCGGAGCAAGTGTACTGGTTATCTGTCGCCACAGGACTGGGTTCTTTGCAGAGGGTACTCCTATTTGGGGCAGCACCTTTAAGGTCTCCCAAAACCCCCCTAAAGATGACCCAGTAGTAGCAACTCTAAAATCAGCTAAAAACACTGAAAACTGAGAGCAGAAGAGTCCAGGGTATGATACCAACGCAAGTAGAACTGGGTTTCCAGGCTCAGAACCTGCTACCAAGTGGCCACGCCGTGCCTGGCTGGGAGCTGGCATTCTGTGAAGAGAATGGCCTTGGGTTTCTGCCAGAAAACTCAAGTTCCTAGTTTTGAATCTCTTGGGGAACTCAGTTGAAATACTGAGTTGATTGTAGTTAGTGCAAGAGGGGAACCGGGGCCCCACAACCCACACTTCTCTCTTGTGTGTATGAGTCCACCCTTGGTAATATGTAGACAAGTACTTCTGTTACAGAGGTTTTCCTTGTATTTAATGTAAAGAAAAAAAGGATCTGATTCTAGGAGAGAATACTCTAGTCAGTAGAAGAGATCTTTCCCAGGAAGGGCTCCAGGGAGGAGGTGGCAACAGATTCCACCTGTGGATCCTTCAGAAACCCTACAAAGTAAAATCAAGGCAAAGGGAGAGGAGGTGGCTGGCACAGGGAGGGGGGACCCAGGGGGAGCTCTGCCTTCCCACCCAAGGGCCTGTAGGTGGGGATAGGTTGATGTGTTCTAGGGTGCTGAAAGGTGGGATTTGGGTTGATGGAGATGGATAATGGGTTCAACCACAGCTGGAAGTTAGAGAGGTAAGAGCTGGGAAGAAATGGTGGGGCTGTCTTGAGGGTAGTGGGACCTTTTTTCCACTACTGATTGGGGTATTCATGCTGAGTTTGTGGGGGACCGCTTCTCTTATGGGTGGTGTTATAGAGGAGAGTTTTACATGTAAAATAGAGGGTTGTACTAGATAGAGCAGGGGATAGCAAACTTTTTAGGTAAAAGGCCAGATAATACATTTTTGGACTCTCTTGCTACTCAACTCTATCATATCATAGTACACAAGCAAACATGGGCAATATGTAGACAAATGGGTTTGCTGTGGTCTAACAAAACTTTATTTGCAAACTAGGTTGGAGGCCAGATTTGGCCTGTGCTAAATCTTTCCCAGAGCAATGATTCCTAAAGTAGTCTGCACACGGAATCATCTAGGAAAGCTTGGAAAGGTACTGATGATGCTGGCATCTCTGCACCCAGGGGTTCTGATTTAGTGACTTCAGCCTCAGGATTGCTAAAAGGCTCCCTGAGGGGTCCTCAAGTACAGTCAGGAGCCTCCAAGTTCACTTGTAAGATGAAAGCTTGTGGTTCAAGTTCTCTCTAAGGAACTTTGAGGGATTTTGGCCAGGGTCAGCACAGGCTGGCTTGGGTTGCAGATATTCCAGAGGTAAGACCCTCAGGGTCTATTTTCTCTTTCCTCAAATATGAGAGGAATGAGTTTGTAAAATAAAAAACAAAATAGATAACCCTTCTAGAAAATGGACTGACCCACCAGAGTTCAAGACTGACTCCTGTGGGGGTACATACACCAAGTAGTGCATTGTTTGCTTTCAAAACAACTAATGCAACTCTCTCTTCTTTTGACAGGACATAAAGAACCTTCTGTTTGGTTCCAGCTTTTGTTGTTTCAATGAAGAATGGAAACTTCAGAGCTTTTCCTTTAATGACAAAGCCTCATTAAAGTATGGCATTGTGCAGAACAAGGCAGGTTGCTTCTCAGTTTTCCAAGGGACCTTTCTGCAGGTGCATCACGAGTGGGGATGGAGCTGCTTCCAGCTTGGCAGGTCCGGTCCAAGCACCTGGACTGGCCATTGCCGGCCAGTCCCACATTCATCACTTAGTCAGAATGTCATGTGTGGCTGGGGAATGCCACCCTTACCACGAGTGGTGCACGCTGTTGGACTCCATTCTAAGAGGGAGTAGAAAGAGGCCTGCAGTTGGTGGGGATGTGAGAGCAGATCTTTAGCTGAGCACTAAGAAATGTGCAGGCTTTTTGCGAGCAGAGCTGGAAGAAGGGTGCTCTAGGCAGGGGTGGCAGGAACAAAGGAGAGACCGTGTGGATGTCCAGGGACCACAGGAAATGGGTTGTGGCACAGAGTGGTGAGGAGAAGGTGCAATAGAGGGCAAGAACATCTGGGTTGACTCAGGATGCCAGCATGACTTACATGCATTTTATAAGCTCGAAGGGCCAGAAGACACTTGAAGTTTGGCATCAAAAATGGCCATATGGAGCAGAACAACTGGCCAGGCTCCATTTCTCAAGTCCTGGTCCTATACAACCTGAGAAAGAGCCCTAGGACCTCCAACTTCTGCCCCTCCAATGGCCCAGCTCAACATATCTTGCACTCCCAATTCAGGGAAACCCAAGGGCTGATGCTCTGACCGTCCTTGCATCTGTTGGTGTCTACGGGGATAAGCTTCTCAAGGACTCTTGCAGACCCCAGTCTGTCAGGGACAGACTCACCTAATGAGTAGCAAGGCAGGCGACAAACAGTCCATGAGGAGAACTTGCTGAGAGGAGACTGCTGAGGGGACTCACAGAGGGACTGCTGACTTGTTTGGGGAAGTCCTCCTGGAGGAGGAGGCCTTTAGGATGGACCTTGAAGGCAGCTTAGCTACTTGGCATGCAATCATTTCCCTGCATTACCAGAAACAAGTGGTTTCATCCTGGCTTGACACCTGGCAGGCTGTGAAGAATCATTTTCCTCCCCTCAGACAGTACAGGCACTTTCCTTCCTCTAGTCATGGGTGCCCGGATCTTGGTCACCCACTTTTGGTGACTCAGGTACTTCCTAGAAGTAGGCACCACCTTGTCAACCTGATTCAGAGGTAGCTGCTGGGGGGGAGGGAGCGGAAGAATGCTGTAACTGTGGGGGGAGGTTGGCTTGCTGCAACAGACATTTTCCTGGCTGTAACACCTGCCCTTCTTTGCAGGGTGGCCCCTGTGGGGTTCTGGCAGCTGTCCAAGGCTGTGTCCTACAAAAACTCCTGTTTGAAGGCGATGGCAGAGCTGACTGTGTTCGGTAAGTCAGGATTCACTCTTCTCTTCCCAAGCCTTCTCCCCTGTGCCCAGGAAAAAAAAAAAAACAAGCAAGGTAACAAGTGTGTTGCTTGGTATTTCCCCTCTTCTGGAAAGGGAAATGGTGACTGGATAACAGGGCCTGCACAGCCAGCTGAAAAGACTTGTGAGCATTTGTTTCTGAAAGCCTTAAGGGTGGGCAAGTCTGATCTACATGGTAAGTGGCTGCTGGAAGGGCATATAAGATCAGGGATGCAGCAGCCAACCGACTCCTGTTCGCACCCACGCCAACTGCTGACTTTTTGACTGAAACCAGGTCTTTCTCCCTTCCCACATGACCTCACCTCTGCCAACAACCATCACCACACATTCCAGCCAGCCCCACAGTACATTGCTTCACTCTCTCCGGCCATTTGTTTTCCACCTCACACATTAAGTGTTTGCACATGGGTATCTCACTCTTGCTCATGCAGTAGAGATTTCTGGAACATCCTCTCTCTGCAAGCACAAGTGATAACAGAGAGCCATAAATGAATTCTCTGTTCTCCATAAATGCTTATTTATGCATACAGAACTGAGGTACCCCTGCCAGAGGTCCAGGGAAAACAGAAAACCCCCGTCCTGAACCGTACTTGGTGCTGAGATAGGAGTGGCAGGGGCTGACCAGGGCCAGGCCAACAGTCCCTCTGAAGTGACCTTCTAACCCTTTCCACCTTACTTGCCCAGTTACTGGCTTGAACAGAGTCACCTTCACAGCTACAGAGCTCCTAGTAAAGCACTTGTTTTTAGTTGAAATGTAACACACAAAAGAGAAAAATGTGTGTGTATGTGTTCTGCATGGTGAACAGAATCACACACCCATGAACACACCATACATGCCAAGCAAGAAAACATGTCCAGTTTTCTGGAAGAATCTCCCTGCCCAGTAGAGACCTTCATTCTCCTTTCTCAAATTGTAATTAAGTGGATGCTAAAATCATAGCTGCACAGTTTTGCCAGTTTCAGAATTTTTTTTTAAGATTTATTTATTATAAAATAAATGAGATAAATGCATTCTCTGTTCTCCATAAATGCTTATTTATGCATACAGAACTGAGGTACCCCTGCCAGAGGTGCAGTGGAGGTGAGAGGAGTGGGGAGCAGAACAGGCGGGTCAGGAGAGGTCTGCTGTGCCATGTGGGTCACCCCTGGGGCAGGGATCGAACTCAAGCTGAAGTGTGCTTTACCCCACTGTGCCACCAGGGAGGGCCCAGTTCCAGAATTTTTTTAATGAAGGGTGCTTACTCTTTGACATAGGCATTTCAGTGCCTTTCCCCTGCCTCCAACTTCAGTGTTTGAAAGACAACAAGACCCATTCCTCATTTATTCGTGTTCAGATTCTTGGGGGAGACACCGGTTCCCTACACATACAGGGGAGCTTGGTACAGAGGAAACATGTTTTACCTGCTTAGCTGATTTTGTCTTTGATAGGGTTCAAGTGAAGGTAGTTTTTCATGATTAGTGTGTTGTAATTTGTCTAATAATATAACTTGTATAGTTACTTTACAAAGTAATAAGGTCTTTTCTTTCATATCACATGCTAACTGGTCCCAGGACAGGTAACCATAACCAAAATGCAGAAGTATGGCGACCTGACATTTCCAAGTGATATATCACCTTGCCCCTGTTCTTGCTCCCCAGGTGAGGGATCCCTGGCTATCCCCAAGGACTCAGGACCCTTTCTAGGCACCCACCTTCCTACCTTCTCTCCTTGTCCTGAAAAGAGGCAGGCAGGAAGTACCTGGCAGGTATTTAGAGGAAATTCTGGGTTCAACAAGACATCCATGGCTTTGACCTCAGGGTTGATTGGGCATGAGAGGAAGAAAAAAGACAGGTGGTTATGAGGATCTGCAAGATGCTTAGCAGCTATCCTGACATGAAGAAGGCCAGGCAGGCTTCCTGGAGGAGGAACACTGTAATTTTCCACATCTAAAGGATAGACAGCACTTCTGATTCCCCTTCACACACATCCTTGAGCATATTTGTTCTGCTTTCATTTTTTCACCTCCTAAAAAATCCCCTCAAACCACTTCTTGGGAGCCACTAGGCTCTGTGAGCTTGCACAAAGGCTGTGATTTTGGGGAGGCCTCCCCTGCCCAGACCACATCACCAAAAGGCGTCCTTATTCATCGCTGTTGCTATTGGTCTGTTGTCTGCCTTCACCTCCTCTGCTTTCCCCAAGCAAACCCCATGAGAACTGGAGCCCCTTGGGCTGCCTACTTCACGTCCATCCCTGGCATCCACCCAGGGCCTAGTCCACAGAAGAGGCCCTCAGAATTCTTGTTGAATGAACACATGGACAAATGCTCAAGTGATCCAGACTAACAGGGAGGGGAGGGGAATGGTATTCCAGGAAGGGGAACAGCTTGTGCAGGGACACGAAGGCAGAGCGTGCAGGCCTGGTGGAGGTGCTGAGAGTTGACGGGGATGGCCAGGGAGCTTGGAGGGGCGAGACCTGCCTGGCTGCCAGAGGGCTCTCGTGGGAGATGCCTCATAACTCATTTCAGCTCAGTGCGCCTCAGAGCTGCTTTTGAACTGGAACTTGGGTCTCCTCAGGGGAAGCTCTGGATCATTTCCCAACAGTTAGGATGGAAGGAGTGTTTAAGTTAGTTCCAGAAAAGACCCTTTCTGTCCAGGACATGAGGTGGACTTGATTCCTTGCTAACCGTCCCACACCCCACTAAAAGTATGTGAGGACTTTGGGATCCCCAGGTACATCTTCAAGGGTAGATTGGGGAGACAGGGCTTGAGGGGGTAAAACCCCCTCAGTTGGGCTCCAAGACGGGCTGAGTGGAGAGAAAACTATGCAGCTGTGGGAAGTGAGGTTTTCCTCTCCCCTCACTGCCTGCCAGTCAGCTACAGGCCAAGCACGAACTTGACCCCAATTTATGTTGACAGGTAGCCATTTAAGTGAGGACTAGATGAGAGTTTTGCCCCATGGAAGCACTGCTGGGGAGGAGGCATAGGAAGGATTGTGGCCTAGGCCTCTGGGCACTGCCTGTTTGCCGGGACACTGAGAGGGGAGTTGGGGTCACTTGGATTGAACCCAGCTCAGAGACTGGGCTGTCGGGACTGAGCTGGGTTCTGGGGGAGAGAGCGTGTGGGCAGAGGGAGAGGAGAGAAAAAGGAACCACCACCACTTATGGGTGTGGGGTGTCTGGGTGCTGGTGGGAAGGAGCTTTACTTCTAGGGAAGGCTGTGGGGCTGGATCAGGAGCGGTCGGCCAGCCAGGAAAGTGTGCCTGCTGGCCAGGGCCACCCTGTACAGGAAGCACCGAGGGATTCATGACGCTGAAGTGACCTTGCCCTTTCTCAGAGCCCCATAACTATGGGTGTGCCTCCCCACGTCTGCCCCAGGCCCTGCACAGATATCTGTTCTCCTTGCAGGCTGAGCCTAACGGGACTGCTCCCTGCTCCCTCATCCAGACTGCTGAACATGCTTAAGGGGACTTAGAAAGAGACGACATTGAGAGGCACAGCTGGGGGAGGTCCTGGTGGTGGTGGCTGTGGACAAGAGACACCAGAGGCCTCCACATCCCTCCTATTCTGTGTCTCCCTCTCCCTCTTTCTCTGTCCTGGATCTGGCTTTACAGAGCCTCCCCCAGGGGATGGAAGGCTATTGGAGGTGGGTGAACCCACCCAGGTTAGGCTAGGACTCGGGTCAAGCAAAGACCCAGGGTGGGAGGGGCCAGTGTCCCCAGGCTGCCGGCAGAGGGGAGAGGCCATGGATTTACTGAGGTGAAGCCCTGCAGGTCAAAGGCCACAGAAAGTCATCATGCCAGGTATGCGTCTGTTTAGCCTGCAGGTGCCCTGCTGAGACCCGGGGGTGAGGGAATGCCCGCTCAGCACTGTGCTCTTTATTCTCTCTCTGGCTGGGAGCTCTGAGAGCACTGAACTGGGTCAGAGACCTGGATTACAGATCCTGGAAGCAGGGTTGTCCTTCTTCCATTTGTGATCCCTGCCCAGCTGAGTCTGACTCAGTAAGAAAATGCAAAGGCAATTCCCTGTAAATTATCAAAGACTGTGCAAGTGCCCTGCTGTGGTACAGATGGGGAAACCGAGACCCAGAGGGGACAGAATGCTTACCACTGTCACGCCTGGCTTGTGACGTGCTATCTGTCACACCACACTGCAGTGTCCTTGAAGAGACTGAGCAAAGGAAGAGCCAGAGAAACCAGGAAGGGGCGAGGGGGGTGGGACGGGATGAGCGTGGGCTGGTCAGAGGCGAGGTCAGCGGCGCTGAGTTTAAAACACGAGTGCTGGATGTCTGGACTCTGTGTGCAAGGGCCAAGTCTGTGTTCCGTGAAAGACCTCTTGGCAGGACCTCCCCCTCTCCCCCATGCAGGCAGTCAGTCCAGGCGAGTACGTCGCGTCGTGAGCACCTGGGGACCCACTGCCTTGTGTGAGCAAGGGGCGACATTTGGCATCATGGCAGGAACCCCTCCGTCCCCAGCTCCTCCCAGCTCAGCAGTTATCTGTACGATTTTAATATTGGTTCACTGGGTGATTGATGTTCCTGCACAGGCTCTGTGTGCTGCTATCAGCGTTCCTGAAATAATCAGCTTAAAGTAAGAGCGGAAAGCACCTCTGTCATCTGGAGGGTCCCCTTGATGGCCGGAACGCCTCATAGCGGCATCAGCAGCTGCGAGCTCTGGGCCATTGGGGGTGGGGGAGGGGTGTGGTGCGGGGGTTTGGGGGTGGCAGGGGTGCAGGGGCAGGCCCTGCGGGCTGTCTGTGCTGGGTGTCCTGGCCTCCCCCTGCATGGACAGGGAGGTGCACTGTGCAAGTAGCACAGAGGATGTGAATGTGCCCTCCAGGGAAGTCACGCTGAAATAAAGGCTCTTGGCAGGGGCATGCTCGTTCGCCAGCACTGTCTGGCTTCATTAGCACATGTTCCATCAGGCCGGCAGCCCGCCTGGCCTCAGTCCGGGAGGACAGAGCCTGGTGGCAGGACTTGGTGTTTTTCCACTCGGGGAGGGCTTGTTCACGGCTCAGATTCTGGGAAGAGATGATGAGCCCTCATTCTCCTGCCTGCAGAGCTCCCGGGACAAGGAAGCTGCCCGCTCATCTCCATCTTCTTCTTAAATCAGACAAGTCAAGCCCAGAGAAAGAGAGCACTTGCTCAAGACCCGCCAGTCCTGGGCACGGTCAGGCTTGACCCCAGGTCCAGGGCCTGGGCAGTCTTCTCCCCATCCGCTCCAGTGGCTTCTGAACCTCAGAGGGAGCAGAAGGCCTCCTGTCACATGCCGGCTTTCTTCTCAATTCTCTGTAGATCCCAGACTAGTGGGTACGTCAGTGTGGACAGGTCAGGTGTTGGGTGAGCGTGGCACAGAGCACTGTGCCCAGGCAAGCACGTACATCCTGCCCTCATGAGGCCTTAGACTCACAGTAAGTTCCTCATGTCTGAGCCTGGCCAAACGCTAGATTCATGGTAGGCGTTTGACTGTCACGGTGGTGTGGCGCTGTCCTTGTCAGTGAGGGTTCTCCAGAGAAGAGAGACACGGAGTTCTCTAGTAGAGTGAGACACAGGAGCCCTGGGGACAGTTACCAGCCTCTGATCGGGACAGCCAGCGCTCCGCTATTCGCTGATCCAGAGACCTCAGAGAACAGCCTTAGTAGTAGCCTCTGGCCAACTTGTGTCCTTCTCCCTGTGGGTTGTCGCATTCACGTGTGCACATGTGCACCCACACGCCTGCACCCCTCTTCCTTGGGGCAGGTCAAATGGCAGAAGGATGCTTAGGGCCACCTTGCACATTTATAAGTGGGGCAGCACAGGCCAGAGAGAGCAGGGGCCCTCCCCAAGGCCTGTGAGCTGGGAACCCCATTCTGACCATGGCACATTCCCCAACGCCACTGCGTTCCCAGGAGAGCAGTGCTTCAAGAGAGCAAGCTGGAGAGGGCCAGGGAAGGGGGCGGCCCTGGGAGAGTACTAAATGGAAGCTAGCGGAAAGAAAGATGATTTTTGTTAGACACATGGAGGCTTAGGGGGGTCTCTAATCAGGGCCCAAGGGACGGGGGGCCAGCCCGTGGCCAGGAACCAGTGCCCCTGACAGTGACAACGTGCTGAAGCACGTGCTTGGAGGCCGAACTGCCGTATTCTCCAAACCAGTTGGAGTTGGCCCCATTTTCCCATTTTCTTCCTCCCTCAGTGCTGTTTAAAAATTTCCAGTTTTCACTGACCAGTGACGTTGGGTGAATCATTTAGTCTTTGTGCTGTAGTGTCCTCATTTTTAAAAGGAAATAATATCTTCTCTATAGGGTTGTTTCAACACTGAATGAAACAATACAAGAGAAGTGCTTCTAACAGTGCCTGGCACATGATAAGTCAAGATCTTCCTTGCCTTAACGAATTTGCGTCCTAATCAACCCATTGTAAGTTGAAAACATCTTAAGTCAAAAGTGCATTCAATGCACCTAACCTACCAAACATCATAACTTAAGCACCTTAAATGTGTTCAGAACACTCACCTTAGCCTATAGTTGTGTAAAATTACTTAATACACAGCAGCAAAGTGTTGAATAGCTCTTGTCATCTATTGAATACTATACTGAAGGTGAAAAAATCATTAGCTGGGGACCACCTGTACTCAGTATAGGTTGGCTTCTCTAGGCCTGATTGTGGCTACCCTGAGAGGCTTTCAGTCATGCGTCACTTGCTTCAGTCAGTTAGTGTAGAGCGGTGACTGTTTGAAAGTGACCCTTGTCCTGTGTCTGGAGGTTTCCAGCCTCCATGTCCCAAGCAGAGTGTACAATCCAGGCATAACTCTGCACAATTCCTACCCGTGTGGAATCAAGGTGGGGAAGTCCCCTGCTCACAGCTGTGTTTAGAAGAGCAGTGGGCTAGGAGAGAGCAGAAGATGCCAGAAATGCTGGTCGGGCGTGGGCCGTAACGGCTCAGTGGAGGAGCAGGACACCCAGACAGGGACAGGATGGCCTCTGGAGGTATGGTGGGTGAGGACATGGGAGGCACGGTGGACAGCACATGACTGACCATCCTGCGGATGGAGGCAGGGCAGGAAGAGCTATGACAGAATCCACATTTGTGGGTTCTAAATTCAGAGATAAATACCCAGCCCTTTGCCCTTAGTCTGACAAGCCTTGCTTTCCTGTCTTCGGCATGACCTCTCCTGAAACCCCAGCAGGTGTGCAACACCATGTTGGTCATTTCCTGGAGGAGCAGGGTGGGCTTTCTGAGGCAGCCACGGGACCAGGCAGGGTACTCTTCACTCTTCTATGGCTTGGTGCTCGTTGTTGGTCTCATTGAGTTAAAAGGATTTCCAAGTGCCAGGAGCTCACTGTTACTTTTGCATCAGATATTCCCATCCGCACCGCCCAACTGGGGACTTGACGTTACCACAAAGACAACAGGAAAAGCTGTTCTTCACGGACCCTTCGCTGCATGCCAGCCATCGAGATAACACTTTGAAAGAGGCACCCATCTTTACTGATGCTTCTCTCTCTCATTCACTTCATGCACGGGGACCCCTCCTCCTCATCTTCATCCTAAGGACATCAGCTTCTACTGACTGCCGCCTTCTCAGAGTGCTTTGATGGGCAGGAGTGTGGCATGCCCCCGTCCTGCTTCATGACCTCCCCATCTGCTAGAGTTCCAGGGATTCCATCCTTGCCCGCTGCCTTTCCCCACCCTCTCTGTGGAGATCTTAACTTGTGCTGGTGGTCTGTGAGCCTCTACCTGACCCCAACCGGCTGGGCCTTAGAGGTATCTAGCAATTTCACCTGGGGGTCCCCTGTGCACCTTGAGCTCAGTGAGTGTCAGGAGCACGTCATCATTTTCCACCTTCCACTGCCTTCAGTTCCCTCCCTGCCTTCACCCCATTGGCCCCACCATGTTCTCGTTTTAATTGGCAGCAACAGCACATGCCCATCAGAAACCTAGAGGTCGTCTTGAGGCCTTCCTTGCTAGCCCCCCATCCCTGATGTCTTAACTACCACAGGCTTCTGCACCTGTGGCCTCGATGCTGCTGGGTAGATGGGAGTGAAGAGTGTCTGCCTGCAGGGCTGTAGGGGCAGAGACGTGGCCCCGGTCCCAGCAGTCAGGGCAGGGCCATGTGTGTGCTCGGATGGCTTGCTTTCCTTGGGATGACAGCAGTCCCGAGCACGTCTGGCCCAACCTCCTGGACTCTGTCAGCCTTCACAGCCCCTCCTGACACACACCTCAGGCCCTGCCAATTCCTGGGTCAGCTTTGCTTCTGTGGTGCTTTCCCTGGCCTCTTCCTCCTGCAGCCCAGGGGCCCTCCTTTGGGGTTTCTCCTTGGCTCTGGCTTCGTCTTTCCAGGCTCCGCGGGAGTGCCGGGACTGCTGGGGCCCCTCTGGATGGCAGAGGCAAGCACAGACCACCCCCCACAGGGCTGTGCCATCCCTGGATACATCCCCAGAGCCATAACTGCATTCCCTTTTTCACCCTCAGGCAGCTGCAACCTTCAAACGCCCACAGGAGCCACTGCCTCGCCCTGGCCATTGCGGACATCGTGTGGAGAGCTGGCGGCCGCGAGAGAGCCGTAGTCACACTGTAAGTGCCTCCCGGGGCTGTGCTGCTATCACTCAACCAGATGGGCCCGGTTGTGGGCAAGCTGGCCGTGTGCTTTCTTCACTTTGGAAAATCTTCTCACACTGGCCATCTGGGCATAAAGACCGTGTCTGCATGTCCTCCAAGCCATAGCCCTGTGTCTGTGTCGGGACAAGCCAAGTCACAGCCTGAGAGGCCGGGCAGCTGGCCCTCCATGCAGTTCTATTCTCACATCGGTATGGGGGTCAGATCTCCCTGGGGTAGGTTACCAATCTCTGGCCTGGGCAGCCAGCATGCCTCTATTTCTCTGGTCCAGAGGCCTCAGGGAACGACCTTAGCAATCAGTCACTCTGCCAATGTGTGCCATTCTCCCCCAAACAGGCTCGCACTTGCTGAGAAGGAGTCTCGGTGGTGGAGCCAGAATTGTCTTTCCTCCTCTCCTGGCCTCCCAAGGTGGAGGCTCTGTCCTCGTAGGCCTCTGGCTAGTTTGCAGGCTCTTCACCCGCAGTCTCTGGAGTGGAAGCGTCACTTCATCCCAGGGCTATGGCTGCACTTTAGTAAAGGGGCTGCCTTTTGGGATCAGGAGCCCCACTTGGGTGGAGCCGGTAGTCACTACAGCACAGTCCTTAGCAGAGGGAACCTCAGAGGCTGTTGCTTATTGCCTGAGTGATCTTGGGCATTTGACTCAACCTTGCTGTTCTTCATCTGTTTATTCATCTAAAAGGAGTTTGATAATGGTCAGTAGGTGGATTGTGACAATAAAACGTGTTAATGCAAATAGATGCTACATAATAAATAACGTTACCAGCCTGTTTAAATCCTTTGAATGATGAGTAATAATGAATGCAGGATTCTTAAGATACTGTCTGGCACATACTCAGTAGCCCGTGAGTGGCAGGTACCTTGATCGTTGTGATTATTCCTATTGAGTGCTTGTCTCTGGTTCCCGCAACTTAACTAACCTTAGGCCTTATGACCTGCATGGCGGCTCTGACTGCAGATGAAGCAAAAATTCAATTTTGCTCTGTTGCCAATACTGGGAAACAGAAGCCTGGAGAGAAGCAGTGCCTGGCCCAAGGTCTCCAGCAGGCCAATGGCACAGTGTGCCCCCAACCCAAGCCCTGCTTCTAGCCTCGGCCTTGTCGGGCTGTGCACACAGGTTACTGTGTAAACAGATGCTGGCAGGACCTGGTGGGGAGACTCAGAGAGGCCAGAGGCCAGAGTTCCTCTCCTCCCTGACAATGAAGAGCAGGTCAGCATTTCTTAGTCGGTTGTTGCGAGAGGCACTTTCTGCTGCCAGGACCTGGGTTTGGTCACCCCAAGTTCTCCTGCTGCCTCTTTCCCCGTTACTTTTTTTTCTCCCTACTAGTGAGTTCTCTGGACTCATCTGTCGGGCGAGTTCACGCAGGGAAAAAGGGAGAAACCCTTGGCTCCATTCTTTCTTCTGGGGCCTTCTTTTTATTTGTCCTCATTTAACGGCACATGTGGTTTTGCCCTGGCTCGGGGGCATGTCTTCTGTCCATGCGGAGGACTCATGCATCTCCTTTTCCTTTTTAGGGCTTCGGGAACGCAGCAGTTCAGTCCAACAGGGAAATACAAAGCAGATGGAGTCTTAGAAACAGTACGGCTTTCTGGAAAATTATCACGCAGCCTTTGGCTTTGTTTGGGGACGGTCTCCTTTCATATAAGTAAATCCTTCCCCAGCCGGGGCTGTGCCGGCACTCCCTGCAGCCCGGGCTTGTGGAATCCTGTGCCCGGAATGGGGGTGGGGGCAGAGGTGGGGGGCTCTGGGGGTGGGCCCTTGCTAGACTAGCTTTAAGACCCAAGGTTGACGCATGTCCCATCATGACGTCAGGCTCTGGCTGACCACAGCCTTCTCTATGCCCCCCTCTGGGTGTCTAGCATCCCCTCTGGGGCTGGTTATAAGAGGGGGAGTAGGGGGCAGAGTGCGCCAAGGGAGAGGAAATTGGAAGGTGGAAAAGAGCTTTGTCAGGGTGGAGGTCCAGTCATAAATCAGGCCTAAGACAACATGACTTAGTTTCTTACTTTGTCGATGTTTTCTCTGAAACATTTTTACTCTGATCTGCCTGTGAAAGGAAAGGAGACGCCTCACCCCTGTTCACCGGTTCTGAATCCAGCAGGCAGTGTTCTGGGTTCAGTGGTGTCCCATCAAAATTGCTTGTCTCTGCCCCACCTCAGATGTTTCCTCAGATGCCCATGACTACCCTTCAGCGGGGGCAGCCCTGCCTGCCGGTCGTTTGCCAGACTCCTTTGCATGAGGCCTGTGATGTCTCAAATCCTGGTGGATCTAGAGGGAGGCCCAGGCCCTCAGCAGGGCACACTTCTTCCTGAGACCCCAGCTCGGCCCTTCTGGCCGTTTCATTGCACGCAGGTGTGGGGGTGCTTCCCTCCCTTGCTCTATGGACCCCGCTTCCTGACTGCAGGGACACTCCCAGGTGCTGTCCAGGACAGAGCAGCGTCCACATGGGTTTGGGTAGCTCACCCTGTGATTTTGTGTCTTCTCAGCTCATACTCCACAATTTGACCTGCTACGAGGATCTGGTGACTTTTCTTCAACAGAGCGTCCACCAGGTATGGCCAGTGGATTGTTCTGTGGGATGCGATCCGTTAAGCCTCTGCTTTCTTTGCGAAAGTAACGCCAATGAGCGGAAACAGCCTGCCCTCATCTCCACCCTGAGACGGGAAGGAGCTGGTGCTGGCTCTGGTGTGTGGCTGAGGGCAGGGGAATGATTTCAGTTGGAGAAGCATGGACCTTGGGGGTAGGGGATCCATTGCTCCCACTGCATCCTTGAGGACTGCTCATCCTTCACGGTACAGGGAGCCGCCACAGCAGAGGCTGCAGGAAACAGAGCTGGGGGTGGAGCAGGGTCAAGCAGGAGGGTGAAAACTATTAGACTGTGCTTTCTCTCTGTTCTGAGGGAAGCAGCTATGCTGGAAGAAAATAACCTTTGCCTGGCGCCCCCTGGGAAGGGGCCGGGAATGAGGGTAGGAGGTCTGGGCACTGTGGATAGAGACCTTCTCGGGACAGGGGGTTGTTTGACATCCCAGGAGACAGGCTGGGCCAGGCAGGCCCTTTGATGCATCCAGTCTGCTGACAGAGAACAATGCACCCACTCCTGGCTGAGAGATGGGGTACAGGACAACCAGGGCTGAGAGCAGCACCGTCAAGGGGGATTCAGAGTAGGACTGTGGCTTGGCAGAGGAGTACTGAATGCTCCAGGGATAAAGAAGACGGTCTCTGGAGCTGCAGGAAAATTTCCTGGGCCTCCTCTTTGCCCTTCCATCACCCTTCTGGGCCAGGCTCCAGGAGGATGCTGGGAGTAGTGAGCCTGGAGCGCGGGAGAAAACTCAGTGAACACCCCTACTGTCAGAATCTCCTCCCTGGCTCAACACCCCAAAGATGCCCAGAGTCTGCGAATAGCCTGGAAGTGTCCTGGCCCTGATAACACAGATGCCCCTTGGGTAGATAAACAGGGCCTACTCTGAGTTTGCAGGGTGTGTGGTCACTGAAGTGCTGAACCCCCTAAATTCTCTATCCCAGCACTCTGGCCTGAGGACCAATTCAGTCCAGAGCCAGGCAGGCTGCCGAGCCTAGAAAGCTCTTTTTGCACCGGCTGTTCTTTTGGTGTGTGGGGAGTTATGTGGGACGGTTTCTCGGTGGAAGGGGCTGGTCTAGTTTCTGGGTGTCCTTGGCTGTCTGTCACTTGCTTGCTTTCCCTGGCTGCCTCTCTGGTTCTTCACAGGAATAGCCCAGAGTTCTGTCTGCCCACACAGGGCGCTCACCACCTGGCCCCATGCTGCCAATTGGATCCTGGAGTTCAGGGGCTGCTTCTGGATTATTCCTTGGTCACACGTGGCCTCAAGAAAGCTATTGGGCCTCAGCTGCCTCATCTGGAAAATTGGAAATGGTGCAGTTAGCAAATAACATGCAGCTTTATGGTCTAATTGTAATTCTTCAAGAAGAGAATTAAATGTCTAGATAAAGTCCCAGCTAAACAGATAAGCAGAGAGGAAGCCTGCTATTAAATTTACCCAACACATTATGAGGATTCAGCCCTGTCTCTGAATCCTGAGCTCAGCCTGAGCTGGGCAAGGTTTGACAAGGGAGGTTGGGACTGAGGGCCCATGTGTCAACCTTTTCTGGTAGCAGAGCACAGAGCCAACAAGGTCAGAAGAGGGAATTGCTTTTAGGGGGCAAAGGAGGGCCTTGAGTGATTGACCAAACAACCCAAGATTCACTCCCCACTGCTGGCCCCTCACCAAGGTCTTCACTGCTTTGTCTATAAGATGGGGTTTTTCCCCTTCCTTGGTCTGCACCCCCAAGTCTTCAGTGAAACCTCAGTAAGACAGTGACTTTATGAAAGAGGTCCAGAGAGTTGGGCCCGAGCTAGGGGAGGGAGCTGCAGCCTATCCACCACGCTTTTGGCCTCCAGCAATCCCTCTCCTGGCCCAGCTTCATCCCTCAGTACAAGCAGTCGATATCTGGCCCGCCTCAGTCTGGAAGGCAGTGTTTCCCTTGTTTAATTTATGTTTTTGCTGGAAGCCACTGAGCTGCCTCAGCACTGCCCTTACCAAATTCATTTTTCATGGCCTGGGCCTACGAGGGGTTCCTTGTGCCAGATGTGGAAATGAATGTTTAACCATCCCTGCCCAAAATAAATAGCCTTCTTGCTGTGTTTTCATTACTGTTCACCCTCTGGGCAAGATGTCTGGGCCATCACTGACCGCCCCCACTCTTCCTCAAGCTAGGGGATGCCCCCGCCCCTACTTCTGATTGGAGCTCCTAGGTGGGCTCAGGTCTCTCCAGAGCCTGAGCAGCACAAGAGAACAGGTCCTTCTTTCCGTATGGTCCCTGACATTTCTCAGGACCCTAAGGGGGCTTTCTGACCCAGTGTGCTCCAGTGTTCCTCTCAATGCAGCCACCTTGCCTGTGACAGCCTAAATCTTGGCCACTTGAATTTAATGAGATAATAGCAATACGTTCTTTTTCTTTCAAACAAAAAGGAATATTGATGCCCTTCCTGGTCAATGTTGTTCCCACAAGGGCAAAAACACGCCCCCAGGCAGGGACTCTTTCCCCTCCCCAGCAGCCTCCCTTAGACAGTCCGCTGGGACTGGCACATCAAGGTTCCCCTTGAGGGTTTTCCAAGGAGTAGGAAACACGTTGGTCTAAGCAGGAATAGTAGTTGTCCACGTTCACATGGAGAGTTAGGATTTACAATGACCTCATGTTCCTTGCCACACTGCAGTCCTGTAAGTGCACAGGAAGGCAGGCATGCCCTCGTGGCCTGCCCAAGACCGAGTGCAAGTCCAGGGCAGAATGGGCCCTTCTCCAGAGGGGAAACAGCCTGAGGACACATTGTGATTTCTGTCAGGTGGCGTCCAAGTCTGTAGCAGAGCTGGGACAAGGCTGCTCACCTCCAGTCCTAAGCCTCCTGTGCAAAGATTAACCAGCGTTACGCTCTGCGATTGTCAGAGCGACTTCACAGGCTTGGTCTCATAGAGTATTTGCTGCAACACCAGTAAATATGCAAGGTATTCGGTGTCCTCATTTTACAAATGGGAAAACTGAAGACAACAGAAGGGCAGTGGCTGACCCGAGATCACAGCATTATGAGATTGATCTAAGATCGTTGTTACACATTCATGCCATTTTTACCGCCCCAAACGGACTTGAAATTTTTTATGAAAAAATGATTCCTTAACCCCTCTGTTCTTCGACTTCCTTGCCTCTAAAAATGTGGATGACCAAGTCCTGAGGGCTTCTCTGTGTCCCAGACGCAGTGACCCTGCCGTACTGCCCCGGTCTTTGCATGAACGTCCCTCTGGCTGAGGACAGCACTGTCCCTTGGGTCCAGACACCACTTCCTCCAAAGCTTTCCTTGACATTCCCCTCTTCCCTAAATCCTACTACATTGCATTGAAGGCCCTTCCTGTGTGTTTCCAGAGGACCTGGTATTTTCTCTCAGGACGGGCCCCTCCCCTGCCCTTCTCAAGTTACTTCTAATTCTTTCTGCCCCCAGTTACTTCCTATGAAGGCAAATCCATGTCCATCTTGTTCACAGTATGGTAAGGAACAGCCTCTTGGTCAGAAATTTCACTCCCTAATTTTAAGACTGGCTAATTGAATCACTGGCTGAAAACAAAGGCTGTATCTTGAGGAAAAGATCATTTTATCCGCATCTTGAGCTGAAATAGTTGCCACTGTTGAGCACCGTATTTGGCTTTGAGGCTTCCTGGCAGCCAAGGCAAAAATGGACATGAGAAATTATATAGTTCTCATTGTTCTAAGAAAATAAGCGCCCCCCCCCCCAGTCTTAAGAACAAAAAGAAACTGATCACATGTCAGGAACACTGGCTGTGGTAGTAGGAACTGTCTTCAACAAGAGTTCACGAGAAATGGTATCTTCCCCAAAGTATGATAAGTTCTATAAATTCTTCACACTGATTTTTCAATCGGGGCAGGGGATGGAGGATTCTGGAGGAGAGGATGGGCTGTGGCTTCTGGGTCACAGGAAAATGTAGAACCAGCTTTGTACTAGTTAACACAGGTGCTGAGCCCTGTTCTAAGTGCTTCATAAGGGTTATTTCAATCTTTATAACTACCGATAAGGGTAGGACCTTTTATTTTACCACCCTTGTTTCAAAGGTGAGACGACGAGGACAGAAAAATTAAGAAATATCCCTGATATCAGGTACTTCGGAGTGGCAGAGCCAGGCTCCAGGCTCTGGGCTCCAGGCTTTGGGCCCCCAACTTGCCTAGGGAATAGGGAAAGACCAGTAAGGCTCTTGTCTTGGGTGCTACATTCAAGGGGTGTCAGAAAACTAGTAGTCAGCATAACTAAAATTGTAATGCAATACTGAAAAAAAAATTAATCCAGAAATCCATGATGAAGAAGATGTGAAAATGTCTTTTACTTTTTTTTTTTTAATGATTTATTTATTGATGCATACAAAACTAGGGTACAGGCCAGAAGTGCAGGGGTGGTGAGAGGACTCACCAGAGAGAGAGTGGGGAGCAGAACAGGCTGACTGGTGAAGAACACTGCTGAGGGGAGCAGCGGGCGGGTCAGGAGAGGTCTGCCATGCAATGTGGGTCACCTCCAGGGCGGGGATCGAACTCATGAGGAAGTGGCTTTAGCTTCTTAGTGCAGTGCTTTAACCCGCTGCGCCACCAGGGAGGGCCCTGAAAATGTCTTTTAAAGACAGAATTTACCTAGGACTTGCACAGCTCCCTTCCTTCCCCCCTTTCAGACCTTAATTCCTCTCAGGGCAGCTCTCTGCTGCTCAGCGCAGCACAGCACTTTACAGTAAGAAACTGGAGTCAGATGGTGAGGCTGCCCCCTGGGGTGTGGTCCTGAGATGAGGGGAAGGAGGAGGTGCTCATTTCCTCTCTCCTCTCCCCAGTTCGAAGTGGGTCCCTATGGCTGTATCCTGCTCACTCTGTCTGCCATCCTGTCCAGGTCCACGGAACTGTGAGTATCTTCTTTCTCCCTCGACTTCTGGCCCACACTGGTGTGTCTTGTCCATTGCTGCCTCCCCAGAGCCTCGGACAAGTGGGGGGTACTTGGGATGGATGAGGGGACAGTTGGCAGTAGAGGACTGAGGGCAGGTACATCCTGTGTACACACAGGATGTTCAGTGCTGCCTTCTCCCTGGTCTCCCCCTGCATGCTGGGGAGTTTGGGAAAGGTCTGAGACAGCCCCCTCAGAGAGCTTATAGTTCCACTGGGGACTACATATGAACACACCCATGTGGGCTCCCCCGGACAAGTGTGGGGTTGACAATTGAGGCTGAGAAGTGGGAGATGACTCAGGGGAGGGGAATCTCACCGTAGGCCAGGGCAGTCAAAAAGGGTTATGTTGAGGGCAGGCCCCCAAGGAGGTGAGTGGCTGTGTGTCTGAGGGCCTTGGGAGATGGTGGGGGCTGGGTCCCTGGTCCTGCATTCTTATCAGCTTGGCCTCTGGGCTGCCTGAGAGCTGGCGTTCTCTCATCATACTCATTCCTTAGGAGTTTTCTAGGCCTCTTATTCATATTTGTCACCTAGACATTAGGTCACCAGGGAAGGTAGCAGATTAGTAGCACATTAATACTTATATCAAGTATAATGGATTGCTCCATTCACGATCAAGCAGAGAGCAGACCCTGGGGACATGGAGACCTAGAGGGAATCAACTTTCCCCTTGCTTGGTATGAGGGGAGATTTGGATGAGTCTAAGCCAGAAGATGGGAGGGAGGGAGGTGCAGTGGGGTGGGGGCCGGAAGTGGGGGCCGGAAAGAATAGGCATGTGGTCCCAGGCTGGGAGCCCCTGGCTGGGGGAGGGTATGCTGCATCACCTGTGGGCTCTGGGGCTGGGAGGGGGGCAGCAGGGACCCTGAGACCCGGCGTCACTGCCTGCTGCTGCTTGCTGCTGCTACCTGGTTGCATGCGTGTGTACACAGCATTTTCTTCTAATCCCGCTGAAATGATATGATTTATTTATTCCTGACCCAGGTTCACCTGGGTAGAGCGCACAAGCCATGACACCTTCTCCCCAGAGTTGGGTGTGTAGTCCTCAGCTTGACAGGGTCAGGTGGGGACCCCAAATGTATGGATGAGACCCTTCAGCTCACTGAGGGGAAGCTGATCTCTCAGAAGGGCCAGGCCTGATAATATCTGGCTGTGTGATCCTCCCAGCCTCAATTTCCCCATCTGTACAAGGGTCTCTCTATTCTATAGAGGGGTCCCACTCTATACTCTGTGTCTAGGGTGCCTCTACTCTCGTGCTTACAGGGACAGTTCCTGCAACCCCTCTGAGAGCCAAGGAGAGAGTTGCTGTTTACATGTGTTTCCCCAAGCGTGGTCTGGCAGCCCTGGGCCTAGACCCTAAGTCCAGGCCACTCTTCTTGTTGTCCAGAGCTGAAGGACTGGGACTGCATCTGCTCCCACCTCCCCTCCCCTCGCCCCATTCAAACGAGCCAGGTAGGGGTCAGTCCCTGCCTAGGCCATGGCACCTGTCAGCCATCTGTGTGGGGGAAGGCTACCCTGCTGGACCCACCAGCCTCCTGCTATGGGTCTCATGTCAACCGTCCTGTCAGCCCCCGCCTCCCACCCCGTGTGCCCACGTACACGAACAGATATGTGTCATCTGACTGGAGTCACCTCCTCCCCCTTGTTCCCAGGGCAGGGGAGAGTGTAAATGAGAATGGTCTTCCCCAGCCTTCTTGGAACCTGGAGGCTGATGATGCCTCGGACTGCCTGGCCCCCCTCTTTCCAGGAGGACCAGTACAGAGACCCGCATTGGCCTGGGGCCAGCAGGACGGTGGTTAGCTTTTGTCTCGCTCCAGTGGCCTTTCTTGCCCATCTGACAAGAAGACACATAGACAGTTTCTTTCTCCTTAGCCGCGAAAGAGAGTAACACACATCTTTTAGGTTCCTAGAGCCAGGTCATCTGCTTTCCGGTCTGTACACAGAGCCCGTTTCTCCCACCCAGCCCTGTTAGGCAGCACGCTGACTCCTCTCTCCATCTCTGTGCTTCCGAGGAAGAAGCAAGGCTCGGGAAGTCAGTGACTTGCCCAGGTTTTACAGCATGACCAGGCCACCTGGCCCGAGCGGGGCTCGGGGCTCTTAGGATCTGCTGATTAAGGACCTGAGTTTGGAGCCATAGCAGACACAAGCCTTGAAGAATGACTTGCTCTGCTGCTTCTTGTGTCCTGTTCTATCCATGCTGTCTCTCTAGGACTGGTGACTTGTGGGGGTGACCATTTTCCACCTCAGTCGATGTGGCCATGGGCATGTCAGTGTGTGGGGGTTCTGGTCCTGGGCAGGCCCTTCCTGAGCCGCTGGGGGCTCCCTGAGTGCTGTGTGCTGTAGCTGTGGGTGGAAGAGGACAGGAGACGGGGTGGGAGAAGCCACCCAGAGGTATCCTGGAAAAGGACTTAACGCCCTCTTCTCTTTCTTGTTCAAGTTCGAGAATACTCTCAGTTACCCTGTCTGGTCTGAGGGCTTCAGGTGGGGAACAGGGCATGGCCTGTGCCACCTTGCTCCCAGTCTGGCCATTCTCGGTTGGCTGCTGGCCAGAGACTTGAGCATGAGAGCAGAGCTCACGTATCCTCCCCTTGCCGTGGTCAAGGAGAGGCCTTTTTCAGGGAGACTTCCTGAAAGGGGTGGCAGCTGAGAGGAGGAAGACAAGCTGACAGCACGATGGGAATAGCCTTTCGTGATGCTCCCCAGATCCTGTGAGAGTCACGCTGAAATCATTTAAAATAACACGTTAGCATTCCTGGCATTTCCGAGGGCTCCTCTGAAGAAGTTGTTCTCCCGCCTGCGCCCGCGGAAGAGGTGCTCCTGGAACGTCCACTCCCCCTCACATGCCTGTCACGTTGCACTTCAGTGGCGCTCCCCACTGCTCCAGCGCCCCGATCTCTTTTTTCGGGAGGGGTGCCAGGCCCAGCTCCAGGTTTGCTGTGGTTCATCGGGCAGTGATAACGGGACTGTGAGAACCCACCTCATCCCTCCTGAGCTGGGGTTAGCAACTTGCAAAGGCCTTTCCTTATGAACACTTGGACTCGGGGCCAAACATCAATGCACAGGCACCATCTGACAGACTGAGCACAGAGGACCCTGCCCAGGAAAGCCCGTGGGGATGAGTCACACTGGAGCATCCTGCCGACAGGCTGCGGCGCGCAATGTAGCTTTGGGACCCCAGGCTCCCCGACAGGCTGTGTGGCGGAGCCAACCTGCGTGCCTTAGCTTCTTGATCTCTCCTTTCACAGCAAAACAACACCTGAGCTTTCCCCATATAAACCACACCCTAAATATCCTTATACGGGTGCAACAGAACTGCTTTGACCAGAGTTTCGGGGGCCTCAGGGATGGAGACCCCAGCCTGCCCCACCCATCTCCCAGTCCCTCTTGGAGAGGCCCCAGCTCTGCAAACATAGCTTAAAAACAGTAGGACAAGATGACTTTAGGGGGCTTTACTATTCTGGGGTTCCGATTCAGCTTTCCTGAGCCAGTTGATGATGCTTTGGGGAGACCTGTTGCTGTTCTGGGCAGTTGAAATGTATCTTGGTAGCCCAAAGAGACAGCAAAGTCTCTCATACTAGAGAGGTGTGTGTGTCGGAGAGAGAGAGGCAGAGAGAAACACCTCTTCCTCCTAGCAAGTCCTTCCCGGCTGATCCCTGAGCCTCAGGGGCAGGCCTCCCTCCAAAGTCAATAGCTCTTGTCCATCAGCTGTTCCCAACCCTGGGCAGAGCTGGGGCTGAGGGCATGATGGGCAGGCGCAAACCTGGTGGAGTGCAGCCCCATGGCTGCCTGGCCACTTCACCCTCAGCGGCTGAAAGAACAGTAGCGATGCTGGCCTTGGAGGTTTTGTTTACCCCAGACTGAGTGCAAAGCCTTGTGAACGTTTTATTTTTTTCCACTTGATTTCAAGCCATCTATTTTCTTTCCTCAGATCTCGAGTTGCTTACAGTAAATCTCATACTGGCCGTCACGCTCTCCTAGTTCCGTTGCTTTCCAAACCACAGAGCTCAGAACTTTCCTTCGAGCCCTCACAAGAATACTTAGGGTCCTGCAGCCAGGCCAGCTCCAAGTCAAGTCCATGTATCACAGCAGCATGCGGGTGCTCTAGCCCCTTGGGGAGTCAGCGTGGACTGGAGCCTGGCCCAGGGGAGGGCTTGGATGATGCCTGAGGGAGGATGTAGGCCTGGACTCTGGGGCGAGACGGCTTGTGAAGGAAGTCTTTCAGGCAGTCAGCACAGTGGCACCTTCAGCTGCCAAAGGCAACCTGAAAGGTCCAAAGTAGGGGGTGCTTTGTCATTTGCTGAAGTGAATTTTGAACAGCACAAGCCAGGCACTGAGGGCAAGGGTATGGCTCGGGGGCAACAGCCGCGTGGGGTGACCTTGTTGCTTTCTCTAATGCTCCAAGAGCAACAGCAATGACATAACTTTTTTTTTTTTCTGAGTGAAAATAGCCCTGAAGTGAAAGGTCATACCTAATTCTCCTCCAAGGCAGAAAGGCAAGCTATTCGTTCATAGCAAAAGTCCTGGGCTGTAGGAGTGGCTGAGGCTGGGAACCCAGGCATGAGTTTGGGCCTTGGTGTCTCTCCTGGTGCCTCTCGACTCTTCATTTCTCTGTCTCAGCCGTGTTCCCAGGAGACCCCTAGGTGGGGAGGGGTTCCTTTCTCCAGCATCCTATTAGGTACCTGGCCCCTTTCTGGATGCCACAAAGGGGCAAACTTGGTGCCACACCCACCAAGAGGTGTGTGAAGGGGCCGCCCCTGAAGGTGGTCAGCACCCACAGAGCCCGCCACACTGACAGAGAAAGGCTCTGCCTGGAGTCAAGGGCAGGAGGACAGAGATGGGACCGCTGGGCCGGAGCCGGGCCTTGGTGGAGGCCTCACGGCTTCCTTCCAGAAATGAAGAAAAACCATGCCAAAGCCTCCATCTCTGGGAGAACGCACAGAACAGAGACCACCGCAGGGGAGCCGG